ACAATCCAGCTATCCCTCAATATTCATCAGTCCGGGACACTTGAGATCGCTAAAACCAGGAAGGACTGGATTCTGCCTAAAAGCATGGGCCCTGGAATTAAGAATCCAAGAAACAAACTTTTGGCCTGGATACCACAAACTTCCCTACTTCGGAATTTCAAGAGCCAAGAACTCAGAATGGGTCGTGTTCCTTCTTCAGAGGGGCTCTTCCATTGCCTAAATCCTTGGGTCCCCTCCAGCTCCAGAATTCCCAAGGGCCACAGCCTTAGGCTGTGAACCCCACAGACTACAATGTGGATGATGCTTCCAGAACAGTGGGACATGGGGGCTCTGAGAAAGCCCTGCCCAGTCTCATACTCAGGGGTGAGCTGAGGGTTATATGATTCCAAAGCCTGACTGGGGTTTAGGCTCTCCTACTAACCAGTTGTGTTATCTTGGGCAAGTCACTTACCTCCTCTGAGTCTTGGTTTTCTCAATTGTAAAAAAAAGGGGGGGGGGACTATAAAACATACCCTAAGAGTTGCCATAAGAAATGAAGCGTATGTTGAATGTATAATATTTCATCAGCAGTTCACAAACTCACTATGCCTCACTTTCCTCATCTGCATAGTGACGAGAATGTTTTGTTGGATGTTTTGTGAGAATTAACTCAATACATGAAAAGTGCTTAGAATTATATGTGCCATATAGTAAACATTATAAAGTGGTAAAATACAATTATTAGTCCTGCCAGTGTGGCTCAGTGGTTGAGCGTTGACCTATGAACCAGGTCTGTTTGATTCCAGGTCAGGGCACATGCCCGGGTTGTGGGCTCAATTCGCAATGGGGATGGCATGCAGGAGGCAGCCAAACAATGATATTCTCTCATTATTGATGTTTCTATCTTTCTCTCCCTCTTCCTTCCTCTTTGAAATCCATAAAAATATACAATTATTAGCATTTTGCTGCCCCACCTTTATCATCCATTTATCTATCTACAAAACTCTAGACTTTGTTTTCATTAGTTTTGTCACTAATACCTTTTCTTGTTCCAGGATTGCATCCAGGGTCCCACATGACAGTTGTCATGTCTCCTTAGTTTTCTCTGGTCTGTGACAGTTTGTAGCTCTTTTTGGTTTTCATTAACTTGACAGTTTTGAGGGGTATTGGTCAGATATTTTGTAGAGTGTCCTTAACTTGGTTTGGTCTGATGTTTTTTTCAGTTAGAAACATCAATGTTGCCTCCTGTACTCGCCCTGACTGGGGATGGGACCTCCAAGCTAGGTATGTGCCCTGACTGGTAATCTAACCCACAACCTTCGGGTACACAGGATGGTATTCCAACCAACTGAGCCACACTGGTCAGGGCTCCAATTTTGTTTTTAATGGCAATTAATTCGTTGGGTCCCTTTGTTAGGTTTCTTCTTTAGGATGGAGGGAAGGAGAGTCTGGGAGGCTAAAAGCAATATTCAGCCAACTTAAGCTAAGACTTGCCTAGGTCAGGGCACTTGGACCATGACCTTGGGCAGGAGAGGTGGCCAGACTGGTCAGAGGTGGGCAGAATAGGACTTATAATTCATCATGAGTGAAACCCCAAGTGAAGGCAAAAAGGGAGGTTCCACGCCCAGGCTTAGGAGGCTCATGGGACAGGAGGTAGATAGAGGAGAAACTGGAGAAGGGCTGAAGGCAAGCTTCTCTCTCAGCTGGACTGTCCTGAGGGGCCCCATTAGCATGAACTGCAAAAGAGAGTACAACCCCAATAGCACTGCCATCCCAAGCCTAAGGTGTGGACGGACTTGGGGACATCCAGGCTTATGTCACCCATTGCATGGGCCAACACAGCTGAGTCTGGGGACCTGGAAAAACCATCTGGAGCCTGCCTCAGTGCCTGATTTGAGGAGCAGCTCCCAGCCTGGGAGGATGCTTCTCAGAAATGGGCAGGATCAAACAGCTTGTGATGGTGTCTGCATGTGCTCTCTTTCCTGAAATGGGAGTGTGGCGGGTGGTGAACAAGCTGTGCCTCTCTGCCTAGGTTCTCACAGGCTTTTGCCAGATTTCTGAACCTGTTCTGGCGCAGAGGTGCACTTAGTGGTAGGAACTGGGGTGAAAAGGTAGGTTCTCTGCATTAGCTACACACCTGGGTCTACCCCTCCATTGTTTGGCCTCTGAGCCCATCTGCCCTGTCTCCTCCTTCCTCCTTCCCCCGTTTCTCATGCCAGGTGGCCCTCAGGGGGTATCACAAGACAATTCTCTAAAGGCTCTGTTTTGCCCCAGAATGCCTGGGCTGGGCGGGAATGGTAGGGTTGACTGGAAGATTGAACTTTGGTCAGGGAACAACTCTAGACAAATCACTTCCCCAACTCTAGGCCTAAGCCTTCTCAATTGTAAAATGAGGGGTCAAATTCAATTATTGTTTCATTGCCCTTTAAAAAAAGCTATATTAGTTATAATAAATATTACTCTATAATTTATAGATTATTCATAATCTATAATCACTAATCTATTAAATTAATAAAAATCCAACATAAAATTGCCCCTGCTTCATTCTGAAGTGACATTAATATTTGTGTTGGTTTCTAACACTTGCTAGTCCTTGTTCAGGTACATATTCAATTTTAATGTATTTATAGTGTAGGGAGCGGCTATAGGGTTAAGCCTCAGACTGACCTGTGGCAGGGCCACAAACAAGTCCCAGCTTGGAGGGCAGAGCCCTCTTAGTGTAATTAAGCTTAACCTCACAGCCCTCCCTAGTTCCTTGTAGGAAGCTAATGGGCTGTGGGAGATTTAGCAAGTGCTGCCAAAACAAGTGAAACTCACAAGAACATTGTAACTATATTGACCACTACCTTGTTTTTCTCTGACTATAAAATAAAGCCTCAGCTTGCCGGCTGGGTTTTTTCTGTGTTCTCATCCAGGCATGGGATATCAGCCGAGCCCCAGCTATATTCTTTTGTCTGTCTTTTCTTTAATCCTTCACCGCCCCTCCTCAGGCTCACCGAACCCTTGGCTGTGCTGGCACGGCACATATAGTAATAGCATAAGTAAATTTAACATTTTCAATTAACATTACACTGTTTTTTTTCCTTTTCCTTTTTATACCTACACTCTTTTTTCCCCATTCTAATCTTGCTGAGGTAACCAATGTTAATAGCTTAGTTATGTATGCACACATATGTGAATATAGCACAATGTATAGAATTTACATTTGGGGGAGACAGGTTAATATTTATTTTACAAAACTATATAATTTCTCTGCAACTTTCGTTTCTCATTTAGCCATATATTGTGGAAATCACACCAGGCCAAGAGATACAGCACATAATTCCATAGTATGGATGAAGCTATCGCAGTTTACTCAGCCACCATTCCCTGATTGATTGGGATTCGGGTTATTTCTAGTGGTTTTATTTCTCTCCCCCTCACCCCCCACCCCCAGTCCTGTAAAAATAAGGCTGTCACAACAGTTTGTACAAAGATCTTCATAAATTGGTACTTGCTTATCTAGGGTATAAAATTCCAGAGGTGGGATTGCTGGGTCAGAGGATTTTTTATGTTTGCCAGTCTGGGGGATGGGAAATAGCTTCTCTGTGTTCCCTTAGTTTGCATTGGCCTGTTTACTATAAGGTGGAGCATCTTTCCATATAGTCACCAGCTCTTTGGATTTTCTCTTGTGTCAACCAGAATTCATATCCTTTGCCCATTTTTTTTTACGGGGTTTGTCTTTGCACTATGAATTTGTGGGAGTTCAAAGTAGGATATTAACGTGCTTTCTGTCACATGTGTTGCAAATATATTTTCCCATTCTGTCATTTTTCTTTTGATTTAATAGGGTATCTTTCTTCATACTAGATGTTTTTATTTTGTGTAGTCAGATATGTTTATCTTTTTCTGACTGGCTTTTCAGTTTCCTGTTTTGTTTTAAGCCTCCTTAACACATAGGCTAAATTCCTAAGGTTCCTTCTTTATTTCCCCTTGTTTTATTTTCTCATTTAAACATGCAGTCTCTCTGGAATTTATTTTTGTCTAAGGTAGGCTTCAACATTATTTTCTTCCATGAGGATAGCCAGATTTAGCAGCTTCCAGTACAGACTGGGTTTGGACAATGTGTCCTGAAGCTAAAGAAGTTTCAAAATCCCTTTCAGGTGATCTTTGGGGGCCCTTCCAGGTCTGACATTCTCTGACTCCATAACGCCCAGTACAGCGACTGCTTGCTAAGAGAGAGAAGGCAATGCACAGCATTACTTATGAAAAAGTAATTTCAATATTAAATCCCAAGTTGGCTCCAAGTGGATATTAGAATCACAACATTTTAGAGGCGGAAGGGACCTTGGAAATTAGGTAGTCTAATTGCTCTCAATTCTGGCTGAATTACCTGGGAACCTATAACAAGTCTCTCTAGTTCAACTCCCTTATTTCATCAGTGAATAAACTGAGACCCAGAAGAGGTGAACTAGGTGTCACACAGCTGGCTAGCTGGCGCTGGAGCCCAGGTCTCTGCTCCTGGATTGCTTTTCCATCCGTGTCAAACAAATCCATCAAGCACCATACCTTGGATTTTCAGCTGGCAACACTAAGATCTCTGTGTGAGTGCTTTGTACCTTTGCATATGATCAGCTTTAAAATGTTTACTGTATGCAATTCTGTGCATCACAGGTGGGTAGACTAGTTCTGCCTTGCCGGACCTTAGTGGGGAACAGGGTTATAAAGAACTACGATAATGATAAAAGACAGAGGAAACAAATGGCTCATACAACTGGAGGAGCCTACTGAGGGGATGGGGGTGCAGAAGTAGGAAGAGTTCCCTTGGCAGGAAGTCAGGGCACTGCAAGCAGGAGGTGGTATTTGAATTGGGCCTCGATGGCAGAGCATCCGTGCTGCACTTCCTTCCCTGGAGCTGTGCTGGCGACCTCAGTGACACAGGGGCAAGGTTTCAGGGCAGAAAGGCCTTGGGGTGAGAGAGCCGTGCTGGGCCCAGCCTGTCCAGGCCGAGCTCTGACCTTCTTCCTCTGCTCTGCCCTCAGGAATGAGACCGTGCTGCACCAGTTCTGCTGCCCAGCCGCCGATGCCGAGCAGAAGCCCTCCTGCGCAGACCCGGCCTCCCAAAGGTGGGAAGTCATTGGTGGGTGGTCCTCCCCTCCCCACCCCACAGTCCTTCCCCTCGGAGCAAAGCACACACCACTGCACCATTTGGCCTCTTCCTTGAGTCTTGTGCTGTTGCTTGTTTGTTTTTACCTCCTTCCTCATACTTCCATTTCTCTTTGCTTCCTCTGGACCCCAGATGAGCCATTCCCAACTTTGGAGGTCATTATGCCCTTTCCTATACTGCTCCCCTCTAAGTGACCCGTGTAAAATACATTTTTAAACATCAAGGGAAATGAATGTGGCTGTAATTACAGAGCACAGTAGGATGCTGGCACTCAGTAGTTGTTCAGTGAGAGTGCCCATCTTTCCTCTTATATCAAATATTTCCATTTGTCTTCCTGATTTTTCTCCTTCCATAATGACGACAAGATGACTGACTTTAATTTCAGGGATTTTTCACCCTTTGATGAGTTAGCTGACAACTTGGGAAGGACGGGGAGTAGTGAAAAGTCAAGATTTGGTGTCACTGTCCCAGGCTTTCTCCTTCATCTTGTTTTGGGTTATTCATACGCCCTCTTTCTTCCTGTCTCCTTCCCCTGTGTTCTCTCTCCATCATGCTTTCATCTTTCTCCTCCCACATTCATCTATCTGGCTGCCCTGCTGCTCCTCCATTCCCGTCTTTTCCACCCACATCAATTTCCGCTCCCTCTCATCTTGATGTGTGTGCTGTCAGTCTCTGTCCCTTATCCCACTTCATTTCCTTCTCTTTCCCACCAATTTTTCTGTCTCACAGTTCTGCACATTTCTCTTGTTCTTTACTTCACTCAGTCATGATCCTTCGATTTGGGACAAAAATTTGCCCCATGTATAGTCTCCTGTTGTCAGAATGAATTTGGGCAAGTGACTTAACTCCCCTGGGCCTCAGTTTACACATCAGTATAATGAAGGGGTTGGTCTGTCTAGAAAATGGCACTTACATGTAACCTCACTGAGCTTCTCGCCTGCTTAGGAGAACAAGACCAGGCAGGTGTTATAACCGCTGTCTTACCTGAGAGGCGAGTGAGCTCAGAGACTCAAGGGACTGGCCCACAGGCACACAGCCAGGAAGTATCGACGCCCAGATGCACCCTTACGGCGTTTGACTCCCTGCTCGCCACTTCCAGGTTTAAGATTTAACAATCCCATAATCGTTCCCTTTCTTCCTTGGAAAATAACTAGATGATAATCAGAGATGATGGCTGTCAAGCTAAGGACAGAAAATGACCGCCTGGAAGGTGTTACTACTCATTTCCCTTAAAGGAGTTAGAGGGGTCTGGGCATGAGGCCCCTATGAGGAGGGAACTATGGCAGTGGGGCTCGTTCCCTTTCTTCCTTGGAAAATAACTAGATGATAACCAGAGGTTATGGCTGTCAAGCTAAGGACAGAAAATGACCTCCTGGAAGGTGTTACTACTCATTTCCCTTAAAGAAGTTAGAGGGGGCTGGGCATGAGGCAGGACTCTGAGGAGGGAACTATGCAGTGGGGCCACAGTAACACCTCCAGACCCTTCAGTCCGGGGCTTCAGGAGGCATGTGTTCCCTGCAGCCGACCACGTTAGAGGACGGAAGGCAAAGAGAAGGACCAGGCCCTGTGCCATGCCCTGGGTGGTCTCTGTGCCACGTTCTGTGCCGGGACACAAGGAGCTCTCCATCTAGTGGGACATCGCGATGCCTCCAAATGGGAAATGGCTCACCTGGAAACTGGAAGGAAGAAGAGAAATGGGAGAATGAGAAAGTGGAGAGAAAGGAGAGAGGACAGAGAGTGGAGTGGTGTGAGGGTGGTCTGGGAGGAAAGAGATAGGGAGCCCTGGCTCCTTCCATGAGCTGTCACTGTTCAGACACGTGGCTGAGTCTTCTTCCTAAAAGATGTCCTCCCTGGCAGCGAAGGAGAAGCAAGGAAAGCTGTGTAGTCTGCCTCCCACCCCCTCAGTCCAACTCATTTCAGTGGACAGGCAATTGCTGCTCCCTGAGCACCAGGCATTGGTGAGGATGGGTAACTGTTTACCCTCACAATGGCGCCAGGGGCCCCAGCAACAGAAATCTTCCCTTGAGTTTTCCTTGGTCCTTCCTCTCTCTTGCACTCACCCCTCCCACTCTTTCATGTGCTAACACTCTTCTGCTGGACCCACCCTGCGGTCTGGCTCCTGGTAGGAAGGGGTGGGAGAGAGGCCGGTGTATGTGGAGGCGGGGAAGGGTGCTGCCCCTATGGGACCTGGGCTCCAAGGGAATCGGGTTCTTTTCCAAGATTTGGGGTGGGATGGTAGGAAACCTATTGAAGGGCAGGCGCCAAGGTTGGGTGGAGGTGCTCTAAGGAGGGAGGGAGGTGGGTGGAAGGTTCAGGGAGGGGCTTGTAAGTGCTGCCTATGGCAGCCCTCCCCTCGGGGTGGGGCAGGGAAGTTTGCACCCAAGTTGGTCCAGCTGTTGTCTGTCTCCGTTCCCAGGTATTCCAAGTTGTCCTGTCTGTCTGGTTTGTAGTTTCCTAGAGTGTGTTTCTGTCTGTCTGTCTGTCTCTCTGATGACAGTTTCTCGGCTTCTCTGGAAGAAGGCTACCTCGATGTTTTCTGACAGTGTATGTGTCAGTCAATCTGTCTATTCTTGGATTCTTGGGAGAATTGCATCCTGAGATAAATTTTCTCCCATCAGACTCCCAACATCCCTGCTCCCAACCCTATCCATGACTCCTTCACAGCTCTGAATCCGTCCCGCCTCCAGTGTAGCTCAAGCTCCCCCACTCCCACCACCACCCCTTGAGTTTCTCTACAAGGAAGTAGAGGTCAGAGAACAGGCTGAGGGCCAGCTCAGGGTGGGCGGGTCACAGAGCCTCCAAGACAAGCCAGGCTTCTCCCCACTGGTCAGTCTGGTTTCCCACCAGCTCAGCCAGCCTCAAGCTCCTCCAAGAATTTCTAGGAATTAGCCAGTTGATCTCTACAGAGGGCACCAATATAAGGAATCCAAACCAATCATCAGATCTAGGGTCATTGGGGCCTTTCTTGTGTGACCTCAGAGCTGGCCACAGAGACCCCCTCACCTTCGTCCTCTGTACTCTGACGCCAGTGGTGACCAAGGCCAGCACAAGTGTGAGGGGGTGCCTGTCCCCTCCCTGCATCCACCCCAAGCTGTGGGACTGAGCAAGAATCCCTTTCCATGAGCCACTGGGCTCATGCCCTGGGGGCTGCAGTGGCAGCTGATCTGTGTAAGCCTATCACCCACAGCTGATCCTTGGTAGAGAGGAGCTGCTGCTGCCACCTGAGGCAAACCCTCAGCCCAGGGGAGAGCCCCAGGGCCCCAGATAGATCCTCACTTCCTTCCAAAGAGGGGGTTGCTCCAGCCTGTTAGTGTGTGCTAGTACAGCCTCCCCCGCCACCTGTAGAGCAGCCTTTGGGGGATGGGCTCAGGAGAAATCTCTCTGGGGACCTGGAGCCTGCCAAGAGGTGATGCTTCCAGAAGTGGGAAGAGCAAGTCCGGCAGCTGCTGTCTCACAAAGGGGAGGCTGAGTGGTAGGCATTGTGTCCTGGGTACAATGGAACAGTTATGGGGCCGGCACAGAGTTATCATGGGCTCCATTGTGCTTAGGCACCCACATCCCTAGGCAACAGCTTGTGCTTACTAGGGTAATAGGCCCTCAGGTGAGAACTGGGCCCAGAGCCAGCCAGGGGGCAGCAGGCCGTGCCAGCCTCTTTCATCCCCCTTCCCAGCTCCTTCCCGCTGCTAGCTGACGGCAAGGCTTTATTCTGGGGAATTGAATAGACTAGTAATTGCAGCCCTACTTTTTATGAGGAGGGGGGGCTCCCTCTCAGGCTCTCGGTGACATTTGGAACAACGACCCTGGCGCTGGCCAGCTGCCTCCCGGCATCTAGCCCATTTGTCTCCGTGGGTGGCAATGAGGCAAGATGAGGAAGACTGGCTTCTATGAGGGCAATTTCGGGAGGCTGGAGGGGTGGAGGTCAGAGAGAGGAGGTGCTAGGGAGGAAATAGAACAACCCCCAGCCCTGGGGACGAGGAGGGGATAGGAGTGTGGATGATGGCATTCTGGGCCCCAGCAAACGACTCACCCCCAATATTTGGTGGAGTGTGGATGATGGCATTCTGGGCCCCAGCAAACGAACTGACTCACCCCCAATATTTGGGCCTTCCTTCTCAACCACCCTGTCCTGATCCAGGATGGAAGAGAGACTCACATTTATTCAACACAATATTTATTGGACATGCCAGGGTTGTTGCACTGAGCACACTCAATATTTTGTCTCACCGAATTCTTTGAGATACTGCTACTCCCATTGACAGATAGGGAATCTGGGAAGGAGAGAAGTTCGGTACCTTGATAGAGGGACCGCTGCGAATCAGTCTGGAGCTGGAAGATGAGCCCAGGTCTAACTCCAAAACGTAACCTCTTTGCACAGAGCTGCTGCTAGGAGTTTTTTATTGAATAGCATAGGAGAAGTTCGAGACATTTCATTAAGTCCTAAATAACATTTATTTTCTCTGATTACAAGTTACACACTTGCTAGTTGTTGGATATGTGGAAAATACAGGAACATAAAGAAAATAAAAATTTAATCCAGTCAGATAGAATTAACCACTGTCAATATGTTAGTGCACAAGCTTCTGGGGTTTTATTTTTCTCTGTACTGGGTTTTTCATGTGCCCCTGTTAAAAAATAAGGATATTGTGGCCTGCATTTCCCACTGACTGCATACATTCATTGAGAAAGCCTCCTGCCCTAACCAGAACCTCCTGGTGCCTCCACCCCTCTTGTCTGTCACCTGCTAACCAGCCCGAAGAGTGTGAGCGGCAGAGGCTGAGGCCCCTGAGCAAGGGACACCCTTCCAAGGATGGCTGTCAGGGGGAGCCCTGTGTTAGCTGGCACTGTCCTGTGCATCCGGGGACTTCCCTCTCTCCCCAGCCTGCCTGAGGCATGATCAATAGACCCTCCAAGTTTACTCAGCCTTTATGGAGCAATTAAGTTCTCAGTCAATACAGTTTA